AACACACACCACACTACACACACACACACACACACATATATATGATATTATATATCTATATGGCCTAATTATATGATATAAAATATAATATATATATAATTATATATATATATTTCATATATTATTATTATATATATGATATGATCATCCAACGCTAAATAAGGAGAGGACCTCGTCCATAGCATCAACATTCGCGTAGACATCCCTGCGCTCACACAAGAAGTCAATTCGGGGACTCATCATCACCGCCGCATCACCACTGCCGCGCAAGAAGCGATGGATGGAAGAACTGTGACTCCGACCCCGCAGTGAAAGCCAGTTTCATTGTCATTAACTGCAGTTACTTGCACTCATCACGAGCCAGCCCCCTCTGCCCGATGCGCGAAACAAGCCAAGCGAAAATGCCAGCTGCATAGCATAGAGGCGTTCTACTCAGCCAGCCATGCCGCTGCTGCTGGCGTGCGTTACCCACGCACAATGCGTAGGCAAAACAGAGTAACCGGAGCCGCGGTCCAAGGCCCGTACGTGTAACAGTTTGGGGTGCTAGAGCCCACGATTTATATCGGCCCTACAAGCTCCACCTGACGGGGTAGTAGCTGTATGGTCTGACCGCTGGCCAGTTGAGCAGGAAATTAGAGGGGGGGAGAAGGGAGAAAGAGAAAAAAACCCAGAGAGAGAGAGAGAGAGAGAGAGAGAGAGAGAGAGAGAGAGAGAGAGAGAGAGAGTCAGTCATGTTTATGTCTGTTTATTTACCGTGAACCGTTATATTTTATTTAGCGTTTAGCGCGAATTTATGTTTCATTGATTTTAAAAGAATTTTTGATCTCTTGATTCAACCATTTTCACACACTGTCATCCAGCGTAGACTGGTCCTCATCTCGACATATGTCTATTGAGATATCTCTACTCACAAGCTTACTACAGCAGTGGCGGATTTAGGGAGGGGGGTGGCTTGGGTGGCTAGCTACCCCCCTCTGTTGGACTAACAATATTTTTACATAGTCGCGCGGCTGTACAAAACGTCACCTGATGCATAGGTTAAATTATATAATTGAGCTTTTTTGAGCTTTTTTGCAGTTTTTTCACAATTCCAAGAAAGAGTTTTGCTGTCGCCCTCATCCCAGCGGTGGTCACCCCTACATATTGAATAATGAACGCGACTTAAACAATGCCGGTACGTGATGTGATGTGCAATGAGTGATGTGTGTGTGTTTGAGCACACACACGCGTCCACGCGCACCCGCACACGCATACGCTCGCTCGCACGCACGCACGCACGCACACTGAGAGGGAGAGAGAAAGAGAGAGTTTAAGAATGTGCGTTAGTTCAACATGTCTTGATAATGAAACAAAAATTACATGATTGGTTATAGTGATCTTTAGTGATCACATCTTGTTGCTCATGAAGAGAATAGTTCCACTAAAAAGATAATTGTCGTACTCAGAATGAAGGCTGTACATTTACACAAAAGTGCCTCAAATACCATTTCCTGCGATCTACCTTTACAAGATTTTCGGGGGGAAGGACCCCCTGACCCCCCGGGTGCGTACACATCTATTTCACCCTAGCTACGCCCCTAAACACTGCTTGTTTGTGTAGAAAGAATGTCGACCATTGCGGCGAATGAAACAGCAGCAAGCGGAATCGCATCGTGTCAGTCCGTTTTGCCCCGTAACTGGGACAGTGTTGATAGCAGAATGTCGACCATTGCGGCGAATGAAACAGCAGCAAGCGGAATCGCATCGTGTCAGTCCGTTTTGCCCCGTAACTGGGACAGTGTTGATAGCAACCAGCGCTGGTGACACATCAACGTTATATGTACAATGTCGGCTGCGCATTGCCTGGTGATCCGCGTGCACAGTGCGTGCGACACAGTAATGTCGCCGATCAGACGGAAAAACCAGGCAGGGGCGTGGATCGCTGTTGTGGCATATATTAATATTAATAGGCTTATATATTATTTACGGTAGACCACCGTGCACGAGGTGCGTCCTTGCCTCTATCGCGCATTCTTGACTAACGTTGGATCAGTTGAAAGGCTATCTTAAAATCTTATTGAAATATGATATAGATATGATATAGATATGATATAGATATGATATAGATATGAAAGGCTATATGAAGGCCATATTAAAGGGAGTATGAAAGGCTAGCACTTAGGGAGTAAATCAAGACAAGTATGTTCTGCAGAAATATTTTCAATATTTTATATTGAAATATGGCATATGTATTGTTAGTAGTTTATATTGAAATATGGCATATGCATTGTTAGTAGTTTATATTGAAATATGGCATATGCATTGTTAGTAGTTTATATTGAAATATGACATATTATCAAGAGCGTATAAAGAAGCCTTCTTAAAGAACCTTCTTTATACGCTCTTGATATTATATATATGTATATTGTTAGTAGTATCTGGGTCATACTACGGCGTTCCAGAAGGAGAGACAGGGAGAAAGAGAAAGACATGAAGGATAAAAGGTTATAAGAGACAAAAGGTGCGACAGACAGACGAACAGACACGGACGGACGGACGGTCGGACGGACAGACGGACGGACGGACGGACAGACGGACGAACAGACAGACAGAGGGCGGGTGAGTGTGTGAGTGAGTACATGAGTGCGTGCGTGCGTGCGTGCGTGCGTGCGTGCGTACGTGCGTGCGTGTGTGCGTACGTACGTGCGTTCGTGCATACGTGCGTACGTACGTGCGTGCGTGCATACGTGTGTATAATAATAATAATAATGATAATGATAATAAATAATAATAATATTAATAATAAATACATCGTTTTAAGGATATATGAATATCTTGAGGAGCACTCACCTGACACGAATTGCCCATCCCTGCATCTGTTACTCCGTATAAGCAGCTTTACTCATGCAAATCTCCACTGAAAACCTCGCTAATAGGTGTGACACCTGCAAGAACTCACACTATATATATATATATATACAAATCGATCACACACTAGCGCGTACATACAAATGAAAAACCCGACGTAGCATATCTTTCCCTTCTACGACCGAGAACCCGACAGGAGTGTTAGATTTGATAGCCGAAGTACGATCGTTACTGCTAATAGCCCTAGAGAATATCAATAAAATAATATGCGAGAAAAGATATTAGGACGAATAATGTAAACTAACAGTAACAGTAACAGAACCATAGTAGTAATATAGTGTAACATTGCGGAGTTCATTCTTATTGTTTTATTCAAAAGTAACTGCTCAGTTAAAGTAATTAATTTCAAATAGTTATAGTAAAATTATATATGTGACTAGCTAAGAAGGCGACACACAGGATGTTCATTCTACTGCGTGTGACACACACCCGGATCTGTGAAGGCAGATTTCGGAGTTCAGCACGTTCGCATTGGAGTAACCTAATGTCGACTACATGCATGTGTACACGTGGACGAGACGTGATCGCTAGATGTGCGACATATTATTAGAGAAGAACCTGTACACGTGTATATAGCACGGTCTCACGCGCGCGTAGAATAAGATGACGTAACCTGGCTAGTTATATATATATATGACACACCTTAGAGGCTCGAGAGCTCTCCTTGTGCGCGCATATATTCTCACTGTGTTGGAAAATCCTGACGTACGGACGGACGGACGACTTAAAAGACTGCCAGACAGACAACCTCAGAGACTGACGTACGGACGGACGGACAGAGGCATATGTTGTGCTGATATATTTCTGGACTCTTGCTCACGAGTGTATCGTGAGCGATAATAAATTATTGTGCGTGGAAAACTCATTCATGGATTTGTGTTAATCATTGGTGTTATCTTCGTTACTACGCCTCACCGGACACAGGGGAACTAGCTGACATTCCTTCAAGCGGAAACGCAAACGCGAAACGAGACCACGGGTTAAGAACAATAACACAACGCAGGATTTAGAACATTACCACCTACACGATCACGTGCCTATACACCATCGGGCACTGTCCCGACATAACTAACTAACACAAACTAAAACTTAACCGAACGAGGTTTCAATAGTAGACACATAGTAATACAGTAATATATAAAGATAAACTAGTATATACATAGTACTAGTATATAGTAGTAGTGTCTTTATATATTTCAATGAATAGAACAGATCCTAATCTGTTGTCTTACATTATTGTAGGAATAGTGAATATAAAACCCGAGTCTGACCTATAAAGTAACCCAAAAAGGGTTTGTTAAACTTATAGCTCTAGTACTATAGCCCGCTGATAGCTGCCGCAGGCCTAACCGCCTGCCTATCAGGCCTGCCGCAGGCAGCTATCCGCGGGCTATAGTACTAGAGCTAGGTTTGTTACTCCTCTACTACTCTTGTTGTGTTAAATTATTGTATCTATGCAACCAGCTGCGAGAATACACAATCACCAATACACATACCGAACCTCTATCGAACAAAGCTCCCCGATCGTTTTTTGAGCCTATACTCTAGTATAGGCTATAGTCTATAGCGGCTCAAAGCTATAGGCCTACTATACTGTCAGACTACGAACCGAGTACGAGGTATATACGCAATCATATGTAGATAGTATAGCGGGAGGCTACGAGGCACGTAATATAACCGCAAACGAAGTTTACCTATTGTCACCGCATAGAATTACGCTTATAACAACGTTTTACCTGATTCGTTCTCGTAGTATCTTGCGTAATAGCGAGCGATGGCTTGAGTTAGCACGCCAAGTCGCCAACTCCGCCGAACGTAAACACTAAACAAGCGGTTGCCTGGCGACGAAACAGCGCCGCTAGTCGTCTGCTCGCGCATGCGCCGTGTGTCTGCGTGCATCCTCACCATGTCCCTGCATGCATTCCATGTATCAGCCTTACTATATGTCTCTCTGTATGTCTTCAATATAGTTAATAATATACTATAGCTTATACATAGCTTATACATAATAATATACATATATTATACATATATATATACATTATATACATTATATACATTATTATTATTATATTGTAACGAAGAGGTGATGTTACCCGTTTCAAAGTGGATTTGTTGCAGAGATAAAGAAGGGAAACTCCAAAGTCCAAGCAGTTGTGTTTAGCAAATAGTATTATTGTTTCTCAAAAGTCGCACATCGGTGCGTGCGCACAGAGGCACTCATCCGCGTGACCCGCACACTCTCTTCATTTACCCCTAAAATTCATATCTTGCTCAATCGATATTCACTATGGTCCCCGATACTAGAACCTTCTTGCTTATATACTATAAGCAAAAGTGAATCACAATATTAATAAATAATAAAAATTAGCAGACTGCACCACAATATTTACAATCTATTTAAAATATGGGTACCCATGCATACACAATCATTCCTATATATGCTA